TTAATTTTTAAGAGTTAACTATTACGAAATACCGCAAAACCAATTAGATTTTTCCATTTATCATAAACCTTCACACACGGACACAGTCATATATAACAGCTCAAATCACCCTTATACACACAAAATGGCTGCATTTTACTCTTTTATATGAAGACTTTTTAATACGCAACTCTCAACAGAAAATTACAACAAAGAACTTAATATCATTAAATAAATTGCACTGAACAACGGTTGCAATCCGTCCAGTATCGCTAAAATTATAAATAAAAAACAAATCCGGACAACAGTAAACTCTGTTTATCCGAAACCTAATACAGAACACGAAAAATTTCAAACAATTACATATATAGGAGAACAGAGTGAAAAAGTTTCAAAACATTTGCCAAATGTGGTTTAAAAATAGCTTTCAGAACACAATAGGAAAATAAAAAAAATAAGTAAAACGAAATGTCCAAAATCCCAAAAATCAGATGTCTACAGGTTGAAATGCGGATCTTGTCCTAAAATTTATTTTGGACAATCAGGCAAATCCTTCAAGAAACGCTTTAACGAAGATAAAAGAGCGTTTAAAAACAATAGATGCGAATTATGCTACACGTTTAAAAACGGAAAACACATTTTTGACGACAATTTTTATATTTTACATACAGCCACAAAAAGTAGAAAATTAAATTTATTGGAGATTAACAAAATGAGGCAGTCAAATGTATTGCTTAACGATCAATTAGATTTAAATATCTCTCCATTATTAAACTTAAATTCTCACAACAACATTAAGGTTTTAACGTTATTTTTCGGTATATAAAGTACCAGGTAGTCTGTAAATAAAACATTTGATAAAAACAGGGTGTTGTCGAAACAATTGTCATGTGACAATATATAATTTCGTGAAAATCTGAACTTTTAGTTCTTATTTATTTTAATATCTGTTACCGTTTCCATGATAGCCGAATTGGTATCAGCCCCCGTACTTACGGTTTTTTTACTATTTCGAAGTAGAAAGTATCATTGCCAGTTTCCTTTTTAAATCTAAAAACTCCGCCACTCCAAACGATTTTTGATTCTCAGAAAACCCCGTAAAATTATAAATAGTATGAATTTAAGATATGCATAAATATTGCGGGTTTCTTTTACGTTGCTGCATTAGCCATTCAAAGCCACTGAAGCCAATCCTCTCGTCGCCTTTCTTACAACATTCAAAAGTGCACAAAGCCGCGCTTAAGATATAAAAAAGCGTAGACGCAGCTGTGCTATTCGCCGCTGGTAAATAACAATAGCGACCGTGGAACTTGAAATTTTTTAAATAATGACGATACGAACATAGATAGGCGGCGTCTGTCGTTTTTCGACCAATTGCCTTGGACCAGTTTTTTCGTTTTTAAAACCCGCGTTTATGAATGTTTAACGCACGGTAATAATGAACGCTTTCGGCACTTGTGACTTGCAAATTGGACGTGAGAAAACACACGTACCCATAATAACATGACGATTTGAAAATCCAAAGTGACGTTAGTCATTTAATATTCAAATTTAATAAACAAAATAAAATAAAATTGTACTTTAAAACAATCGGAAAAAATTTCAAACGAATTTAACATATAAGTTTTTGTATAACAAATAAATTGCTTATTTTTTATTTATATGTGTAAAAGACTCCTATAACATCAATTGTAACAATCATAATCGATATGTAGTTGGTTGTGGGATGAAATACGTCGGATAATTTTAATAAAACGATGCATATAGACTCAAACGGCAATTATATCGAAATATAAGACCAAAGCATTTTATATATCCGGATTTTGATATCATCTAACACTGGCTTCCTGTTTAATTTATCAACTTCTCGAGGCTTTTCAGAATCAACTTAAATCTTTAAAAACTAAGATCATTTCAATTGTTTGAATGTTACCACAGCCACTCTTAGGCATCTCTGTTTTACTTGTATTATTAAGATCTAAATGTGAGGATTTAGTATTCAGTAGAAAGCACATTTCAATATTAATATAATATAAACAACACTAACTTCCATTCTCTCTAATAGTTAATTAGTAATCGCTATGTAAATAGGCATTCCGCTCTATTTGCTTAATGTTACTGGTGAAACGGAATTTTAAGCTAAAACCTAAAAAGAAAGGGGCAAATATTAATGACAGCTGACCAAAATAAATGAATAATAATGAATTTTAACACTGAATAAAAGAGATTTGGCCATGGAATATTGCGTAAATATTAAAGTGAATACCACTTCCAAATCAGTATAGGAAGCTACAGTAGCTATAGCAAATTATTCAACGTTTAATTTATAATAGATGCACCTAATTTCAATTGATTATTATCAAAATTGTAACAGATAATTTAAAAAAAATGATACGCTGTGTCTATTATGTAATTAGTTAACCCTTGGCAACAAAAATCCAAAATCCGAAATGATATAGAAAATGGTTTTGTACTCCCATAGCCTTTGATTTTTTTTAATTCCTTCTATTTTTTATTTTACCTACATAATTTTGTCTAACTTCCATAAGGAGTTACATCATTAAAAAGGAAATCACCTATTCATAACAGCAAAAAACCAATATAACTGCCCGAAGATAAATTAAAGGTGATGAAGGAATAAAAAGACGAAACGTCGTAAGAGAGAGAATCGTGAAACATGAGAATGCTTCCGAAAATTTTTGAAAATAATCTCTTAAAGCCTATATATATGCTGCGTATCGCTATGCCGTTTGATTATCGTTCCCCACGCATTGGAGCGTCGCCTATCGTATTCAGATGTCCGGACATTTCCATCTCGATGGCTTCTCGTATAATCCTGATCCTAAAATCAGAAATATTAGCTATTTTTTTGCAAGTACCGAAATCAATTTTAAGGCTTGTCTGGTGTTGGTACTGAAACAAAGCAGATGTTGTTTATTTGTTTCTTATGGCTAAACGATGTTCCTCGAGCCTGACTGAAATCCTTCTATTGGTCTGTCCCACGTACGTCAGGCTGCACGAATCCGCATGCTACTCCTTAGTTTTCCAGAGTAATTTTTTATTTTGACTTTCTTACTATTCCGTAATATTCGTCGGTAACCCCCTTGATGTATGGCAGGACAGCCATATTGATTGATATTTTTGAAATGGTGCTTTTTATACCTAATATTAACTGTTTTTGAGATACTGACTGTAAAAAAGTGGCCGTTTTCTAACTTTTAGGAGTCATACCATCACAATAACTCAAGATAGAGCACAATGGTTTGCACACTCTGGTCTTATTTTTCCCATCAACGGATGAAATATCAATATTTGAGAGCTCCTGTCAAAATTAACAACACTTATCCAATTTTTAATTGGCGTCATAGGATAGATTGACAAATTAAGATATGAACGTGCATTTGTTAGGCTCTAATTTAAACTGTTTAGATTTTATGGCTTGACAAAGTTGGAAAACGGTCACTTTTCAACTGTCAATATCTCGACAACCGGCAAAGTTAGAGAAAGAGGAAAGAGTTTAATGAGACCTGAAGCTCCCTATTGATGTCGAGTGCGTGTTAGGGAACCATCTGACAAACCTTTTTGTTATGATTGTAGATCTGGAGACAATTAGAACCTTTGAAATTAAACGCACATTTATAATGCCCAACCTAAACTAAGAAAATTTTGAATAAATCGTATTGAAATTATATACCTACTGCGGTTGCTTATTTTGGTTTTGTATGTTCTTCCGATTTTCTAATTAAAGTTTTAACAAGCAGCTGAAGATTTGGATAAACCGGAATTTGAATTCTGGGTTGTCAAAAGTCTTCTAAAAACTTCTAAAATTATGTATTCTTTTCGAATGAAGCTACGTTTTGATTGAATGGCTTCCTTAATCGACACCATTGCAGATATTGGTCAATCGAAAACTCCCATCAGATTATGGAACATCGTACCCAATATTCCCAAAAGCTAAATAAATGGGTTGGAGTAATTGGTGTAATATTATAGGGCCTTTCTCTATCAATGGCATTCTTACTGGCGAAAAATATTATACCTTATAAAGGAAGCAAATTTTGTTCTCCAGTTAGTTTTATTAACTCTGTGCATCAAAAATGACGAATTGGGGATGATTTATAACCGCATATGGTGTCAAAATGTAAGAGTACCTGACTCAAATGTTTATATATTATATATCGTTTTTTTAGGGTTACCCCAAGATCTAACGCGTACAAAACCAAAACCAACACTTTGACTGACTTAGAAGAGCCGATAAGAGCTGAAATTCGAACTAAAAAACTGCTTAGGACACTGACAAGTAGCAGAAGAGCGTCAGTTTGACCATTGACCCAGTTTTTTAATATTTTAAATTGTAATTAAGGTTTACCAATTCCATGAACTATGCCGTTCATAATTTAGTTTATTTATTCAATTATTTTCATTTTGTGTCGTCCCTGTAAAAACGGTTGAATTTGGGAATACTCATGAAAAATATATAGAATTTTCAGACCAATTAATTTACTTAAAATAAGAAAGTTTGATAGCTTAGGTAAAAAATATAGCTGTGGCAACGTCGCCTATGTCACCATCGGATCCAGCATCATTGAAGACCCCAGTATTCTAAATTTCAAAAATTTACGTCAAAGAATTCCTGAGATATATGGTCCTTCCATGACTTTTCACTAATCCAGTATATTATACCAATATGTCCTAAAAATATTTTTTGAAAGTTCATAAATTTTTGTTAATAAGTTGGAGATAATAGCCTCCTACCGAATAACATATAAATGTTTATTATAAGTTTTTCTTCATAAATGTGAAATTTAGTACAAAAATATACTATAAAATTACTTTATTTATTTCATAATGAAATGTTGGTTGCATTATCGCTGGAACATTTAATTTTGTTATTGAAATATTGGGAAGGATAATTTTCACATTTTGGTGGAAGCGCTGGTGGAATTTGCACTCTCCATAGTTTTGGTTAGTCTTTTTCTTGGTCTGTAAGGCAATAACAAACGGAAGTGTTCTGTCAAACATTTATTTACAAAAAAAAAACCTTAAATTATAATACATTACTACAGTATTTACTAAACTTACAATCCGTTCAATACATATAAAACAGTCTAGTCTTCTGCTTATGAGTATGCACGACGCAAGTCTGCTTAAAACAATGGTATCGACATGAAAAGTGAAATAAATGTAACAAAAGTTCTTTATCAGATTCGATACTTCAAGACGCATTTTCGCATTACTATTGTTTCGATCATCATTTTCTATCGTAAGCTATTAATCTCATTCGACGGACAACAAAGGGCGGAATTAAATCGCTATAGAGCGTCAGTTGCACGTAAAATACTCAGATCATTTGGCCAATCGTTAAAATCAACAACTTAACAAAATAAAATCAACAAATACGTCACGCACTTTTATTTACTCTCATCTGCACTAGAATCCTTGCTGATGATAGAATCTATACTAAATGTCTGGTTGACACTCGAGCCACTGGTCACCGTCGCAGAAGACGACGTCGACGTGGTAGCACCTAAATTGTGTGTCAAGCTATGCCTTCTGAGATCACAGTTTCGTCTGAAAACTTTGCCGCATGCAGAGCAATTGTACGGTTTGATGTCCGTGTGCGTCAATAGGTGCGTCTTCAGATTCGATCGTTGATTGAACGACCTCGAACACACGGGACATTTGTGAGGCGATTCTTCCATGTGGAGAATTTTGTGGACAGCCAACGTGCGGGACTGGCAAAAGCCTTTGCCGCACTCCGCGCATTTGAACGGCTTTTCTTTCGAATGGATGTACCTATAATACAATGAATTCATTTATTAGTATATATACTCCCATCAAGCTAAGCAAGTGCCTCCTTTTCATTGAAAAGTGTGATGATTCGAAGGGTATAATCTTTTTGTTTTAATTTCATCGAATCTCAGAGCCTCCTGTGGCTATAATATTTTTGCAGATATATAGAACATACATGCCGTAGCTTTCATACTATCATTATCGAGAAATATCAATACTGAGATTTAATAATGCCTCATAAGAAATTCATAAAAAGTAACAGACAACAATTTTGGTAACAAAAGAAAAAGGGAATATGAAAATGTATGATTACTTTTGAAACTTGCTTTTAGTAATAAAAAATACTTTTAAACAAAACTTGAAATCCGTCGTACCAGGCCCACATATTATGGCATATTTTCAAACCTATGAATATTCTTAGCATTCTAGGGAAGAAATATTACTTTATTCAACAAAGTTTGCTAAATAATTTGGCTCAATGCTGTTTTCCAATTCATTCATTCGGCAAAAAATTCTTCTGGAAAGGAACTGTTTCAAATATAAGAATATTATAGGTATTCCGGGACAAAAATAGTGTTGTTAAATATTTTCATTCATTCATTTAAAGTACGCAAAACTAACCAAAACTAACCAAAGTATGGTTTTTCAAATGAACTATTTCAAACTTAAGAATATTCTTTTGTAAAATATTTTTCCAAAGATATTTTGCGAAATCATTCATTTATTGTATTTTTCATATACCAAAAATATAAGAGTACGTTTTTCAAACAAACTGTTTTAAACCTAAAAATAGTCTGGGCAGTCTAGGGCATCAACAAAATTTGTTAAATATTTTGCCTAAAAACAGGTTACAGGATCTTGTGTTAAAATTATTTCCATCCAAAGAAAAATACTGCAGGATGGGTTTTCAAACGAAGTGTTTCAAACTTAAGAATATTCTAGGCATTCTTGGCCAAAAATACGATCTTCGTCAAAAAAGTTTATTAAATATTCATCACGGAATTCATTAAAATTATTTCGGACACAACAAGAATAGAGCATGATGCTTTATGAAGTGAACTGTTTTAAACCTAAGAATATTCTATGCAATTTAGGGTAAAAATGCTACTACTTTGTTAAAGATTTTGTTTAAATATATTTGCGAAATCGTTAATTTTAACTATTTCCAACACAACAAGAATATGGTTTTTCAAATTATCTGTTGTAAACCTAAGAATATTCTAGACATTTTATTGCAAAAATGTTTTCCTCGTCAATGAAATTTGTTAAATATTTTGTCTAAATATAGTCTGAGAAACTGTCGGAAGGAACAGAAAAAATGCTGTATGCTTTTTTAAATGAACCGTTTCAAATCTAAAAATATGCTAGGCATTTTAATGGAAAAATACTACCCTAACCAATAAAATTTGTTTAATATTTGGTCTATTTTACGGAACCGACATAACGAAAATATGGTTTTTTAAATCATGTGGGGGCATTTTATTGCAAAATCATTTTATTAAAATTATATTTGACAACGAAAATACTGTAGGGAAAGGGAAATAAATGATGTGGCGAACTCGTCTATTTCCGACATAAAAAAATATTTTGTTTTTCAAATTAACTGTTTCAAATCAAAGAATACTCCAAGCATTTTATAACAAAAGTGCTATAATCATCAATAAAATTTGTTAAATGTTTGGTTTAATATATTTCTTGAAATCATTCATTGAAATTATTGCTGACAGAACAAAAATATTGCAGGAAAAGAACTGCTTCAAGAGTGAGAAACTTAGTTATTTTTGTTTGCTTGTAAAAAAATTGTAATATGTTTTCGCATTACGATTATTCTTCTGCGGTACCGGCGGTGATGACTCGTACCTATCTTCGGGTTATAATCGTGAGCGGTGCGAAGCTCTGACATTTAGACCCGAGCGAAACAATGCCGTAATTTAGGATAATTGTTATAAGTTAGCAACGTTCCTTTCACGATGCGTTTTTTATTTACACAATTATTCGACATTAGTGACGTTTATATAGAGTTAGATTCTTTCAGCAGGTGTTTAAAAGGTTTGAATGTTTATTATGAGAATTAGATTTGAAGCAAGCGTTTCAACTGATAACTCAACCAACTTTTGCAAAACAATCATCGAAATATTCGGCTTCCCTAATTTTGAACAGCTCTATTTCTATTAAATGTGACGTCTAGTCATAATAATTATGTTCATTGCAGGTGTAACCGACACAATTATTTAAATTCTATAAAACGTACTTTAGTCACGATTTTTTTTTTGGAACGAGCAGCAGAGCACCTTATTTATTTGTTTATTAATTTATTTTAAAAAAATTGCTCTACTCTTAATTTTGCAAGAATTAGGCATGGGGAAATTGTCACTTTAAGCTTCGTTAGTCATGATCGGCAGGCCATTTCCGGTAGTCACGGGTTTGGGGGCGACCAGATGATTTCACTCATTAAATGTGCACTTTAGCGAAAATGTAGAAAAAAATGAATGATCGAAGAAAAAATATAATATAAAGTTCTTCAGTTACTCGTTCATCAAATATATAGCATAATATACTATACTACACTTATTTGAAATGCTCAACTATCACAAATGACAAATATTCTGTTTGATGGAATTACCTGATCAATATTTTATTTAATCTTAATGAGGTAGAAATGAGATAAGTTTAATATAATTTTTGCGGTTGAAGGACTAAAAATTTGAAATTTGGGAATAACTATTTAAGTAAATGTGTACCATAAAATCCAAGATACCGTTTGCCGGGTTTGAAGTCTAACAGTTACGGTAAGAGAAAAGCGAAACATAGGAAAATGTGGAGTAAATTTAAGCTAAACGCGAAATTTTTTTATAAAACTTGAAAGAAACTATTATTAATTACTTAAAATTTGGTTGACATTATAGCGAAAATGGAAACTTATATTTACAAGGTAAAGAGAAAAAGAAATTAAATAACAATAATAATAAATTTAAAAAATAGAAGTTTAGGCTTGCTTGTGTCATGACGTACGAATCAAGCTAGGGCGTGAATAAAAAAATAATAGTAGATAACCAAGCTTACATATAACTCACACTTTAATTACATCGAGATTCCATATTTACCTAAATAGGGCGTTGCAGGGTGATTCTAGAACCTTAATTCTGGTTTTCCTTAATTCCTTCATTATTCATAACTAAAACATTCTCAATAATGTCTAAAACCAAAATGGTGTCCTGGAAAGACAGGAGAAATCCTTCGCTGATTTGCTATTCAAAATAACTTTTGAAGAAAATTTCATTGTTTACAGAAATCAACTGTCATTTTGTTAATCTCATGATCGATGGTCCTAAAATTCCTCATTCAATTTTTCATAGAAATGTTGACTCCTTAAAATACACAAAATAAAAAACACGCGGTTTATTAAGATTTGTTTTAACCGAAAAATAACGGCACCTAATACAGCAAAAAGCTATCCTGCTCCTCCTCGACATCCTCACCGGCAGAATAATCGTTGCTTTGAAATCCGTTATTCATTGGCGGATTAATTGTTCATTGATAAACAAGCAACATTTTTTCTCCATGCTTAACCTATATGTTTGTAGTAGACATGAAGTGTATACTTAACTGCTTAATTTAACATCTAAAAAAGCGAGGCAAATAGCATTGACTATTGCTAACAATCTCGAAATTAGAGTTTTTTTGCGGAACCAGTGATGCTGGAAAGAGAGTTTTTTTTTCTTTTTGTATTGACCGCTCACGAACTGTTTTCGTTTATAGTTTTTTCTACGCTTTAATTTAATTTCGTATGAAATTATATCTTCTTCTGGTATAGCTGCAGATAATATAATATTTCCCGTAAAGAATAAATAAATAAATAATTAAATGATACTTCTAGCTGCCCAAAAAATGAGTTTGCTAATGTTCTTAGTTTTGTAAATAGGAAATCGAGTATTTTTTCTTTCTTTCTACGTGTCACGTTCAACAATTTATTTAATTACGTTCCGATGCCAAGAACCGGTGTCGATGATATAACCAGACAAATATTTGACGCGTATCATATTTACCTGTGATCCCTCAGATGATCCTGCCTTCGGAAAGCCTTCCCACATATATCACAGGAGTAGGGCCTCTCGTCGGTGTGCGTCCTCTCGTGTATCAACAGGTTGTAACTCTTCGTAAACTGCCGGTTGCAAAACCTGCAAATGAACTGCTTTTTTGGCCTAATCGCGCCCTTCGGCCGCGCCAAACCGACGCCGCTGCTCGCCGCCGCCGATGACGTCACGCCAGACGCCGTACTCGACGCGGCGTTTTGGTAAACGTTGTTCATGATCAAACTGGGATAACTGGTGTCCACGGGTGACGACGACAACGAGAAGTTATTCAGAGCGTCCTCGTTGTCTAACAGCGCCAAATCTTCTTCGACTTCTTCGGCCAAATCTACGTCCTCCGTCAAGCTCGTGTTGTTGGTATCTTCCGCGACGCTTTCTTCCGTAATCTTCGCGGTGCTCGCGGCGATTTTCAAAATGTCTATTTTCGGCGGCGAATGGCTGACCGCCGATGCCGACACCGATAATCGATGCAGCGTCAAGTAAGATTCGAGCGCTTGGAGATTAAGAGCCGCCACCGCGGCGCTATTTGCCGGCAGCAACGCCGCCTGCTGTAGCGAATTCATCATCGCGTTCTGTAACGACAACGCGACGTTCTGGATCGATCTCTGCAGGAAATTCTCCTGGATCATCGCCGCGGTTAGGTTCAGCTGAGCGGTCGGTAGTTCGCTCTTCGGCGGTGACAATTGCTGCTTGTCTTGGAGCATGCTGGCTTCGGTCGACGTCTGCATCGCGTCATCAAAACAACACACCGTATATTTCACCCGCTCCGCGTATCCGATCACCCCCAGCGTCACGAACGTCGATGTATTTTGGTCGCGCGCGCAGCACAGGTCAGTAAAACAGTAGACAAGCGACTAAGTCAAGAATCAAGGAGGCTGTAAAAGCGTTAGTCGAGTGTTTTCACTCGTGCGCCATCTGGAATTTAAGCGGCGCGACAAGGAAGGTTAATGCCGCGCCGGTACTGCGGGAGCGAGAGGGCCGGCGGGCCGTGTAGATTGGTCGTAATTGCATTATAACCCTTTTCGTTCGGAACCGCTGTCGAAGGAGGGTAGGCAGCCCTTCGTCAGGGTGCTTGTTGTTTAACCGCGGACGTTTTTTCCGTCGCGGACAGCGGCGACGCGTTGATTTCTACGAAATAAATCGGCGACTTTAACGGTCGCGCAAGCAAGTAACCCGATATTAACTGATTTACATTATTCACGGATCGTTGTGTTAATTAATGAATTCGGATAAGATCGAGAAGCGTGTTCGAGGGTACGTTTACAATTAAAAGCGAACGCAGAGGACCGGCATCGAAAATAATTTATTTTTTGAATATGTCTTCTTTCATAATTTCTTTCCAGGGATAGTCAGTATTTTTACCTTTTACAAAACATTTACAAACATATGAAAACGCAATTTTATCTGCTGAAATGCATGGTTTTCATTTTCCTTATTTTGGAATAACCAGTATCAGTTACATTACATCTGATTGTTATTAATTTTGAGCGCTTGTCCAAATATAAAAAGATGGAAATATCTTTTTAAGAGGAAATTTTGCAGACATTAGAATAACCTAAATTTAATAACTTATTGCGTTATAAAATCTGTTAATAGCCAATCTGTATGTATGGATTAGATATATATTTATTGAAGTGCCTAAACATTTCTATTTAATAATACCAGTAGTACATTTAATATCATCTTAAGTATGACTAATTTAATGTTCGTGTACAAATTTTTCCCGTTTGTTAAAATTTCTTGTCACAATTCTTGCCTCACTCCAAGTTTTACCCCTTTTTTTGCAGAATCTCCGCAATACTGGGATCCCATGTTTGTCTACCACGTTTTTTTCATTCCTGTTTTACTTGTCTTATGTTTTCCAACCTCTGCTGATGTCCTCGCGAATTCAATTGTTGTGATTTTATGTATTCTAGTGTCCATTCATACTTCAAGGTTCTTTATTAATTCCAAGTATCTTATTGTTTTACTCCTTTAACTCTTCGCATGTATTTCATCTCCATGGCTTGAATTTGGCTTTTTTTGTGGATATTTCTTTTTTACTTATTAAGTTCTTATTAATTTCAAAGTACAGCTTTAGTATTTTTTCTATTGGGTTATTTATTTATTTTTCCTATTTTCCGATGTTCTCTATTTCCACTCTTAAGTAATTGAAGCTTGTGTCCAGTTTTATATATATTTCTTTGTGTTCATTTCCTATCACCATTGCATTTGCCTTAGTTTTGTTTAGTTTTATTCCAAAATTTAACACAGCATTATTGTAGATCATCATGCTATTCTGTAAATCTATCGCTTTCCGGTTATTACCAGTAAATCATCAATAAACGCTCCTACTTTTACATTTATTAGATTTCCTTATCCCTGATCTACAGTTATTTACTATTTCATCAATAAGGCTGAGAAGAGCTATGTCTTAATCCTGCTTTAGTTGTGAATCGTGTTTTGTAACTAACTAAAACTAATCCAAACTACAATTGTCTCCAGAATATACGTAGCCAGTGAAAAAATCTCTGAGAAAAATAATATTGTTTATATTTACAATCCGTCAAGGTAAAGCAAATCCAAACTTTAACAAGCCTGTCCGCAAGCAATTTTATTTGGCGAACGATGTAGGGAGTAGAACAAAAATGCTTCTATAATTTAAGAAAAAGAATAATAGTGTGTTTACAAGCGTAAGCAAGTTTAATTCCATGTTTAAATTCACAAAATAACAAACACACGGTTTATTAAGATTTGTTAGTTTGTCGGATTTTCTTTGGGAGAGAATAATTTTTTTTTTTTTAAATCGAATTTGCAGTTTTTCTTTTCATTTAATGATAAAATCAATTTTAATATTCTCATCACGTCGTACTATGAGAATTTTACACATTTAGGTTTCCCTTACAGAGGCTAAATAAATGAAGGTCGTATATAACAAATTGGAGGTACATAATTTCAAACTATTATTAATAAAATAAATTTATTAAAAAATAATTAAGGGACTTTTTGTAAAAAACAAGTGAAGCAGTTGTAGTTTAGGACATTTAAAAAATCGTGGCTCTAATTTTACAATTTCTTTTTTCATTGTTGTTATGTACATCAAACATTCTATATCTTATTTTACCTAGAAAGAAGTCATTAAGATAGTTTATGAAATATTCTTATCAAATTGATAAATAAACGGGTTTATTAGAAAAAAAATATGAAAGCCATATCAATGACTTAAATTAAAATGGTTTTCGCAAAAGCGGGCGCAGCTCTTCTGTGATAGAAAAAAAGATCTCGACACATCGCAGTCCGCAAAACTCTCTTCGGATAGGAATGTACCCTTAGTGTGCAATTCGGAACCACACAAAATATATCAGGGATTTTCTTCCCACTCGTTTTAAATTATTACACTTCTAAACAACTCCTTAACTTACAACTTTGCAATTAAACGCGCTCCGATGTTCCGTCGAATCTGATGCGTCACCGCAAGAGCACGCCCAATTCCTCCGTTTTTCAATTTATTTTAAGGGTTTAGCGATTCACGATTCAAATTTGACATTTTGTGTATCACTATAGAATGTGTTCTACTTTCGATTTAGAAAATTTTATGTAATGTGAAACGAGCCGATGGGAGATCGATTCGCATTCAAACTGAAATTATTAAGTTATGAACTGTAGATACGCAGTTATGTTGCTTTTTACAAAACTTCTGGATTCCTCCTGCGTCGGTTTTTGCTTAGTCGAAATTGTTGACGTTTCGCCAATCATCCTGTTGGCTTCTTCAGAACTTGACTGAAACTGGAAGCTCTGAAGAAGCCAACAGGATGATTGTTGATTGATAAAGTTATGTTGGCAATAATGAAATTGCAGGCTACATTCTAAATTTCTGGTCACGGAAAAAGTTATATTTTTATATTTTCTTGGAATATTTCATAATTTTGAATTTCTAAGTCAAAAATCAAGAAGAATGTAAAAGCGTTAGTCGAGTGATTTCACTCGTACACCATCTGGAATTGAACCGGCGCGACAAGGAAGGTTAATGCTATGCTAGGAGAGCGGGGGCCTTTTAGATTGGTCTTAATTGCGTTACAGCCCTTTTTCTTTGGTACCGTTGTCCTAAAGAGGGTAGGCAGTCATGTGTTGGGATGTTCATTGTTTAATCGCTCACGTTTTTTCCGGAATAAATCGGCGACTTTAACGGTCGCGCACGCAAGTAACCCGATATTAATTGATTTACGTTTTTCACGGATTGTTGTGCTAATTAATGAATTCGGATAAGATCGGGAAGCGTGTTTGGGGGTATATTTACAATTAAAAGCGGACACAGCGGACCGGCGTGTTGTGTGCCGGGTTTATTATTTTTTTATTTTCAAAGAAATTTACAGGTGTTCCTGTAATAATATTTACGACTCTTCTGGATGCCTATTGCGTCGGTTGTTGATGAATCCAACTTGCTGACGTTCCGCCAATCATCCTGTTGGCTCCTTCAATGCTTAACTGAAACTCCAAAAGAAGTAAAAATGATTGTTCATTTATTATTTTTGCCCTTTAGAACAACAAATATTACATAGATATAAAAATATTTCCTGAAATTTCTGCGAGAATATTCAGTTACATTAAAATTTAATTTTGCAGATTAGTGAATAAAAATGATTGTAGGTTGATCCCAGAAGGTATTAATAGCATATAAAAGTGTTCAAAAGCTAATTTGTTAGTTTTCAACGTTAACAAGTGTATCTTTATGTCTATTTTAATTGAAAGAGCAACCTTTCTTTGAATATAAATCGAACAAAGTTACTATTAAATCATTTACCACAAAAGATTGCCTTGGGGTTATATTTGATCGGAAATTAACTTTGGAAAAAATAAAAATGAATTCCTTAACTTCGCCAAGTATATTTTAAAAAAAGAAGCTGATACTTGCGTCAACAGCTTAGAAAGATATAAAATATTAACACTGCACAGCAGAAGGGCTAAGTTTTAAGTCAGTAATAACATAAACTTTAACTATGTAACGTTGATTTTGGTTATTTAAGTGTCCCAAATATAACATGTTTAAAATACTACAGGAGCTTTACCATCTAAAATACACCTAGAACGAATTATCAGTTGAAATCCCCGATTATGACAAGGGTTATATATTACAATCAATAGCAAAATAAAATAGATATCTTTAGTAATTCAATAGTATTGTTTGAAAAATGAAATTTATTCCAGAATGTTTATTTATTTTAAATAACGGATCTCCTGTGTCTCTTACGGTAGAAGCAACTCTGTTGGCATATTTTAAGTAGTGGTACTTAGTTTTTTAAACTTGTTTTTAAGTTAGTTGTTATTGGGCGATCAGCCTATAAGTGCGGTAAACGGGATTTGACTCACAAGCGGAGCGCAGCGGAGTGAGTGTTTAATAAACGAGTGACTTATAAAGTTTAACGAACGTGTTACATAGTATATTTTTTCTATGGGTACATTTTCGCAAAACAACACGACGTGACCGTCAGAATTAACAAATATCAACATTCGTGGGAAATATCTCCGAAAACATCCGATCGCTCACAAACCCGTGCGATAAATTCCTGGAAATGTCCGAAGGGTGTTGATCCGTGGGACAAGAAACTCACGTGATAGAGTGACGCATCCCGCACGCTAGATCGGTGTGTAATTAGGCATTTTACAGAGGGGAGTAGAAAAAGTAAATAAATTATGGGATTTATGAATACGATGTAGAGCTTTATAGTGCTTATGGTGCTGAAACTTTCCAAGCTGCTTTGAATAGATTCAATTAAATTAATAAATAAATTAATATAAATAAATTTCATTAATTTAATAATAATAAAAATAAAATAATAAATAAATAAATTACAACA